GCCTCATGTGATGGTGGGCCTGGCTGTCAGGACCACCTGGTGACCAGGCCTCTGCTCTACCCACAGGCAGCCTGATCTCTCTGCACATCTATGCCCTCCATAGGAACAGCGCAGTGTGGCCCAACCCTGAGGTACCCCTTCCCTGGGTCCGGAGTTCAGACAGGGTAGGGGGCTGTGAGTGTCACCCTCTGGCAGGACGTGGTGGGTATTTAAGCAAGGCCTGTCCCCTCAGGTCTTTGACCCCCTGCGCTTTTCCCCTGAGAATGCGTCTGGACGCCACCCCTTCGCCTTCATGCCCTTCTCCGCGGGGCCCAGGTAGGGAGAGGCCCAGCATCCCCAGGCCCTCAGGACATCATGGGGAGGCATGACTGAGGGGTACTCTGTGTAAGCGGGACCCAAGCTGGGCTTGTGGTGATCCTAATGCTGGGTAGCCTCCAAGGACCTTCTCGCCATCATCGTATTCCTGTCCCTGGGAAGGGGGTGTGACGGGTGAGTCATTCCAGGAGAGACCCCCAAGCCAGAACCCCCAGTGTGAATCTACTCAGTCTGGGCCTCTCACCATGCTCCCAAGGTCTGTTTCTTAAGCGTGAGTCAATCACTCTATCAGCCAGTTATTCGTCCACCAAGTCATTGATTGTTGTTGGCCACTAAGAGCCTGGGTGTCATCATTCTGGGCACCCCACGCCCGATGCCTCTTTGTGCTGCTCACCGCAGGAACTGCATCGGGCAGCAGTTTGCCATGAATGAGATGAAGGTGGTCACGGCCCTCTGCTTGCTCCGCTTCGAGTTCTCTCTGGACCCTTCGCGGCTGCCCATCAAGGCCCTCCATCTGACCCTGCACTCCAAGAATGGTATCCACCTCCGCCTGAAGTCGCTGAGCCCTGGCTCTGGGAAGTAGCTCTGGCGAGAGTAGGGCCCCAGACAGCCCAGGCCGTGGCCTCTCCCTGGGCACCACCACCCCCGCCGCTGGATGTGGAGTTGTGGCATCCTCCCTTTGGGAGGCTCGCAGTTTAGGAGGGGAGTAGGCACTGCCATGACAGTCATCTGCAGGATAGTGCCATGTAAACGTGTGGTTCTGTTTATTATGCATGTATTCCAGAGCTCATTCATTCACTTAACAAACATTTGGTGAGCACCCACTTGGTTCAATAAACTTCATTTAGTTTGCATAATTGGTGCACTCTCTAAAATGTAGCAGAACTGACATTGTAGCCTTAGTGACTCAGTGAATGCAATGGAAGCTTTGCCTTGGGAGGCATGGTTATGACCAGGTGCTACATGACAGAAGAATGGCTTGGGGACTGCCTCTTCACTGAGATGAGTTTCTGTCACTCTGTGTGTGTGTGTGTGTGTGTGTGTGTGTGTGTGTGTGTGTGATATAACAGACAAGAGGAAAAGTTGCCTAAACCAAGACTTTACAAAATAATGAGTAATCCCAAATCAAACGCCCTGACAGCCACCAATGAAGTAAAGGAATTTGGAATATGATGTCACTGGTGTCTCTGCCCCTCCTGAGATGGGTCTCTCTGGCACCTCTGCCATTGTCAGCGTCTGTGTCTTCCAGTCACACTATGGTCTGGCATTTGGGGTGTGGCTGGGGAAGATGGCAGAGTGGCATTACAGGGAGAATTTCAGGCGTTACTGGAAGTAAGGAAGCCCCCCTTGAATCAGCTTGAATCAGGCCTTGAGGCATGGCTGAGGAGTGAAGGTGCAAAGGACTTCTGGGGAGGGCCTTGGGCTGGGGGCCGCATGAGGACTCAGAGGTCTTTCCCTGACAGTCCCTGCAGCAGCTTCCTGAGGGCTGGGGGCACATGCCTCTGGGTTCAGAGTCTAAGGGCACTGGTGGGCTCCAATCCAGGAACTAGACAGTATGGAAGGAAGGGCGGTGGAGACTGGACAGGGTTGGGGATCAGGGTCGAGAAAGAGGAATTCCAGTCATGGGATGTGGTGATGTCTCAGTGGTGCCCTGGGGATGTGCCATCTGGAGATACGTCCGCCCTTGCCGCTGGTGCTTCCTCTCTTGGGAGAAGGCCCCTGTCTGCCACAGGCCACCTGCTCCCTCCTGCAAAGCCCTGCCAAGACCCAGACCTCCTTGCCCACCTGGGGCTGGGGGACAGAGGTCCCAGCCTGGGTGTGCCTCCCAGCTGTCTGCCCTGCACCTTATGCCAACTTCCTCTTCGGTCATGGCACCTGGGCAGACTGTTCTCTGCACCAGTAAAGATAAGTTTTCAACAGCTATCACCTGGGAGCTGAGCCCAGTGGCCATAACCTCCTCGTGCCACTGGGTGGCACCTGAGTCTAAAACGCACCCACTTCCCCTAACTCTGGATCTTGGGGAGGCCTGGGAGGCCCTGTGTGCGGAGGCTATTCTCCCACTTCAGTATGAAGGGAGGAACCTACAAGACACTTGTCTGGGAGGAACTTGAGCTGAGGCCTCCGACTCTGGGCTCTTTTGACCAAGAATCTGTCATTAGTAGTGAGCCTCTCTGAGGGTGTGTGTTGTTGAGAAATGGAGCTGAGTGCTCTGGTGTGAGAAGGGGTAGGCAGGTCCCTGTGGGAGGGCAGGGTGGGGACTGGGGATGGTCGGGCACCAAAGATGGATTCCACGTCATCCTTTTGGCTCTCCAAACACACTCTGCTGCTGCAAGGATCCTGGGCACGTGTGCACGTGTGCACGTGTGTGTGGGCAGAGTGTGAAGTGTGCCATAGGCACACAGATGTGGCTGTACGTGAGAGTCTCTGAGTGGGTGTCACGGGGGTGTGCACACGGTGGGCTCTCAGCCTGGATCTTACCCATTGCCTGGAGCAAGTAGGTCACTCTTTGGCCACTCCTCCACACCCCCAGGACTTGTGGTTACAGCACCGTTCCCTGCTGGCTGCACAGAATTGTGAACCCCAGTGTCCTGTGTGGAGGAGCCAGCCCTCCTGCGCTGCATCATGCTGGGGGGATTGCCGACCACGGTATTCTGGACTGCCCAGCTCATTCTCCTGCTGCAAGCCTCTGCCCTGGCCAAGCACCGAGTGGCCACCTGCCCCTTTGCTGCCCCTTCTCAGAGCAGGATGAACTAGCCCAGTGACCTGGGAGGCCAGGGGACTGAGAGGGATATCCTGGGAGAGAGCCCTTCAGGGAAGCAGAGCAAGTCGTCACATTTCTGGCAGAGGGCTCCCGGGAGGCCTGTCCGTGGCACCCAGGGCCCTGGGCTAGGAAGGAGAGAGAGGTCAGCCAGACACCTGTGCTCATATCCAGCGGAAGAATAAGGGTCTTGGCTGAGAGAGGGTGGTGGAAGGAGGGACACCAGCCCAGGGAAGCAGGGGGAGTCAACACAGGCTGGGTGCTAGAACAGGGCCCAGGGGCAGGTGCAGCAGCACCAGGCAGTCACCAAGTGTGAGCAGCATGGACAATGCCCCTGCTCCCTCAGTGTGGCTAGCCAGAGAGGCAGGGGACCACCAAGACGCTGTCCTGGGGGAGGAGCTGCTTGGGGTCTGACACCCTCTGCTGCCGGGCACACCCATCTGCCCACGTGGGCTCCTCTAGCCTGTGCTGGACAGCTGTCCACTGCGTGAGCCTCCTGAGGAGCCTGCAGGCCCCATGTGTGAGGCTCCATGACATGTGCATGGTGATGTGGCCTCCTTCTCATGGTTCACTGGGACTGTGAAGAGCAGTGTCCCCAAGGCCCTCGTGCTAGACCAGACCTGTAAGGATTTCTGGCTCAGCTCAAGACTGCCCTGCTATGGTTGGGATGTGGTTTGTTCCTGTCCAAATTCATTTTGAAATTCCATCTCCAATGTGGCAATGTTGGGAGGTGGGGCCTAGTGGGAGGTGTTTGGGTCATGGGAGTGGATCCCTCATGAATAGCTTAATCTCTCCCACCAGGGGCAAATGAGTTCTTCCTCTAGCTAGAATGGATTGGTTCCCAAGGGAGTGGGATTTTAGAAAAGTCTGGCTTCCTTGTCTCTCTCTGGTTTCCTTTCTGCCCATGTGATCTCTGCACATACTCGATCTTCTTCTGCTTTCTGTTATGAGTGGAAGCTGCATGAGGTGCTGACCAGACGCAGCTGCCAAAACTTGGACTTTCCAGCCATCAGAATTGCGAGCCAAATAAACTCCTGCTTTATAAATTACTCACCCTCAGATATTCTGTTACAGCAATACAAAGTGAACTAAGACACATCCTCAGGTCAGCCCTGCTCTGAAAAGTCTAGTGTGAGAAAAGCTAACTTCTGAATAAAATGGAGGTCTGGTCTCTTCCATGCCAGGTGCAAGCTTCTCTCTGAGCTCCCAGAGGAAAGCCCTTCGTCTAAACTCAGCTCCCATGGGAGCCTCGGGAGCTGGGTGGGGTATGTGGCATCAGGGATCACATGGCATGAGGCTGTGTGGAAGGGGGTGAGCCGCATCAGGTCCCATCGGGTCCTGGCACCAGAGGGAAGACATCACCTCCTCTCTCCCTCCTCAGGAGGGACTTGTCTCTTCTGTCCCCCTGCTTCTGCCTCCATCTCCTCCAGGGGGAGGCAGACACAATGTGCCTGCCACCTTGCGCACTCTATTTCAGGAAGGAGGGAAGACACAGGGGTTGTGTGAATGACAGTCAGGTAGACAGGCACCATAGAGGAGAGATTTAGATGGACAGATCGGGTGACAATCAAACAGGGGTGGTGTAAGGTTGAATAATGGCTCCCCAAGATGCACGTGTCCTGATCCTTGGAAACTGTGACTATGTCCAGTAGTATCTGAGTGTGCCTGATGTCACCACCATGGTCCTTAGAAAAGAGAAGCTGTGTGAAGACAGAAGCAGGGAGATTTGTGGATGCTGCTGGATTTGAGTCTGGTAGAAGGGTCCAGAAGCCAAAGATAGCAACACCAGATAATGAAAAGAGCAGAGAAGAAAAGTGTCCCCTAGAGCCCTGGGGGTAGTGTGGCCCTGCCTATACCTTCATTGTGTCCCAGCCAAAACCTTTTCGTACTTCTGACTTCCAGAACCATAAATGATAAAGTTCTATTATTTAAAGCCAGTAAGGTTGTGCTAGTTTATTATAGCGTGATAGGAAACTCATACTGGGAAGACAAGCGGGCAGAAAGGGAAAGCACAGGTATGGAGCAGACAGGCGGGAGGGCAGGCAGGGGATCAGAAGTCAGGTGGACATGCGGTGATGCAGGTGGGCAGGAGACAGGTGGACAAACAGGTAGTGAGCCTGGAGTCAGTGACAGAGACAAGGGCACACAGATGAGGGGACAGGAGGCAGGACAGCTGTAGGAAGAATGGCAGGTGGCAGCTAGAAAGCAGGATGTGGGCAGAGAGCCAGGGGCCAGGAGCAGGGGTCAGGACAGCAAGACAGCAGGATGGCAGATGGAGGCCCTCAGAGCCCGTCCTGGACCCCATAAGTCTTGGGGAGCTTCCTGAGACGCAGGTGGATCCCATTCTCGGGCTTCAACACAATTCGTGTTACGGGGACGGGGACCCTGGTGGGATCAGGCAGCAGCTCAAAGCGGAGCAGGGTCAGGGCCACGGCCACCTTCAGCTCATTCATGGCAAATTGTTTCCCGATGCAGTTCCTGGGTGGGGCAGGGACAGTGAAATAAGAAATGGCATCAGGCCCCCTTCTGAGCGGGGCAGGGACTGGCCCCAAGCTCCAGCCCAGAGCTGGGCATTCAGGGCCCTCCCGCACGTGGCCCCGCACCGCCCGCGTCTCCTCACAGGGCACACTCTCCCTTGGCCTTTGACAAGCCTACCAGCTTTCAGGGCTAGCTCCCAACTTCTACCTCTGCTCTGAGCAGGCAGGAAACCCTGCGATAGGAGAGGGCAGCGCTCCAAGGCAGAGTCTAGTCTCGTGAATCCTTTAAACAGTTAATCATTGGTTTGCTCACTCCCTCCACAGAGAGTTTCTGGTTCCCCAGTGGGGAGGCCAGTTCAGGTCACTGTAGGGTGAGGGTGGGCCACAGTCTCAGGTGCTCACCACCTAGGGGCACATTCAGGGACCCAGATCCTCAGAGAGGTCCTAGCTGTCATCAGCTGTTGCCCCACCGTTCTCCCACTCTGTGGTCCAGGCTCCTGCCCTGCCCTCACTCCCTGAGTGTGCCAGCGCCTGTCACCTTCTGATTGCACTCCAGAAATGTCCCTCCTTTCATCCCTCAGTCCTCTCTCCTGGAAGATTCTGGTCTCCCTGCTTCCCCTCCCTCCACACTGAAGCCACAGCCCAGCTCAGTCCCTGCCCCGCTCTTCTTCACAGGTGGGGCAGTGGCCCAATGCCCCCGCTGGCATCAAAGCCCTCTGCAGCTGCTCGTCTCACCCCCTCTTGCCTGTCCAGCCCCACTCCTAGCTCAGATCATGTGGAGGTCATTGAGAATGTCCTCCCTCCACCTCTGCCACCACATCTCCAAGGCTAAGGCCAGTGACCAGCTGGCCTTACCCCTCTGCTCACTGTACCTCTCCCTGCCCCGGTCTAAGGCAGCTCTAGTGCTTTATTCAAGGACAATCCCAGTCCAGTGCCAAGACAGTGCCAGGAGCATGGAACACTCAACAAACTGCTCAGAGAGTGAATGAGTGAGCGAGAGCAGAAATGAAGGCATGCTGTCTGCCTGGAGTGTAGGGATATGGTTCCTGCGACTCATTTCTGTCCTGGACATTCAACTCCTGGAGGCAGGGACAATATGTTTTATCTGTGTTTCCCCATCATGCTGCAGAGGATTTAACCCACAGTCATCAGCTTAATAAATACTTTCGTATTTGAATGAAGTTAATTAATTTTAAAAATATGGAGTGGAGTACACCGAGAGGAAGTATTAGTTTTCAGCTAGAAATTGAGGTATCTCATACTCTCCTGTCCTCTAGTGGCAGCAACATGATTTGCAGACTTTGTTCAGGAGAAAAGACTCATCCTGGGAGAAATCAATGGTGGAAAATTATTTCCTAGAGGAACGATTTTCTTGAAGTCTGTTCTGTGAATGTTGATTTGCCATTGGAAGAATTCACAGAATTATGCATTCAGAAAAATCTTATTTCTCCTAACTATTTACATCATTTTTAGCCATTTGTATTTCACAGGACGATTCCTGCAGCCTTTGAGGATTTTCGCAGCTGTCATAGGGAGTGTGCTCCCCAGCTCGACAGCTATTTCAAGCATCTTTTATATTCTATATACCAGGAACCTTTCAAAAGGTATGTGTTATATACCAAATAGTGGGCTTTCTCTCAATGACAATTTATTGTTTTTATGTTTTCTCGTTTTTATTTTTTTGCCACATTGTGCTATGTGGACTATGGGACTATGGTGGAGAGATCCACTGCACATACAGAATTTACTCGAATGGGAAGCTACACATAAATACATTAACTTTATAATTCAGTGAAAACTTTATTGATCAAGATAGCAAAATACGTGAGACAACAAACACGAGTATAAAACTTTCTACAAAGGGCTACCTTAGATTTTCACGTATTTGGCTTGAACGGTAGGACCAGCAAGGCGTGTGAATTCTAAACACATGGAAACATTTCAATGATTCCACTTTATGGCAGACTGGTGAATTAAGTGGAAAGGTGATGTGGTGATATGAGAATGTCTGGGAAGAGAGAAATTGACTAATAACCTGATAACTGAGAAAAGCAAACATATGAAGTTTAATTTACTGGAGAAAATCTAACTCTGAAAATTCATTTTCCTAAAATGAGGAAAACACCACAGCACACTGAAGTTGGGAGAGATTTTTGGCTGGCCGTGGAGTAAGAGCAAAGAAGAAAAGTCCCCATGGTGTGCCCTGAAACGCCACCTTCCTTTTGTACACAGAGACAGCCACACCAGGCCTCCTTCCCACAGACACCAACATTCAAGGATGTCACTGAAGGTGTCACATGTGAGCATAGGGCTCACACACATCTGGTATGTGCCCAGAGACACCTCCTATCTCCCCAGCTCCATGACCTCACAGGATGCCTCACCTCGATCCTCCTGAGAAGGGCAGGAAAGCGTGGCTGTGTGGCACAGAACCCGGCGCAAAGCGGGAAGGGTCGAACACCTGCAGAGAGAGCGCCAGGGCCAGGGCAGGTAGGGGTCAAGCCCCTGCTTGCCACCCGTAAGGGGACAGGATGTCTAGAGGTAGGAGCAGGAAGCAGTGTTGGTCCTGAGGGGTTGCCCCATCCTCTTCCCAGGACCCTCTTACCTCTGGGTTGGGCCACACCCTCGGGTTGTGGTGAAGGCCATAAATAGAAAGCGCGACTACGATACCTGTTGGGCAGGTATGAGACAGAAGGGTGGTCACGGTTATACCCATTGAGTGGGCACCTGGTCCCTCAGCCAGCAGGGGGCACAGGCATGCACAAAACGCCAGTGTGCCACAAATCATCACTGTGAGCAGGATGATCCTGTCACTATGCAGGTGGGGTGGGCTTGCCTGGTCACGTAAGCTCAGATGCGGAGAGAAAACCATGAAGGCAGGAAGGAGAAGCAAGAAAGAATTGGAGGCTGCTGTTTGTAGTAAGTCCTGGCACAACTCACATTGACCAATGCACCCATGAGCCATTGGAGAATATGCTTTAACTCACCCAGTGCTCACCACCACCCTCCAAGGAACACAGTCTGTCACCCTCATTTTTCAGACAAGGTGCCTGAGTCTCAGAGAGGCTGATTGTCTTCCCTCAGAGTGCACAGCTAGGATATGGCAGCACTGGGACCAGACTCCACTGGGATTGAGCTTGGTGGCCTCTGACCATGGTAGGGGTCTCAGACCTGGTCACCAGCTGCTCTCTGCCCTCAACCTCGGGGCTCCTCAGTGACTGGACCCCATCTGATCCAGGCCCCTGGATTCCCGACCCCACTCATTTGCCCTGAACAGACAGGGAAGGAACCTCAGCTCCCTCTGCCCCTGTCTGGTTCTCCCTGCAGCCCTGCAATCTCAGGGAATAGAATGTTAGGGCTGTCATCCCAAGGACACACCCAAAGGCAGCATGTATTCATCGAACTTTTGGTGGGTTCAAGATCGGTGCCAAGCCTTTTACATACTTAATCCTAACTACAAAGTAAGTTTGCATTTAGCCGACGAGGAAAGGGAGACAGGGAGGGTCAGAATTGCTGAAGCGCACGTGGATGTCTGATTGTCCTTGTGTGCCTGTGCAGGGCTTAGGTCAGTGAGTGTGGGGAAGTTCACACCTTTGGGCAGGGAGCGTCCATCTGGGAAGGTGATGGGTTTGCTGAGCTCTCTGCCAATGCCTGGCACCGGTGGATAGAGTCTCAGTGCCTCCTTGATGCACATGGTGGTGTAGGGCATCTTGTCTAGGTGGTCCCTGAAATGAAGCCCATCTCAAAGAGCAGGCAGGGCTGGGCGGACCAGGGGCTTCCGCCTGCGAGGAGAGCAGGGCTCTCTCCTCACCTGAGCGCTCACTCACCAGGTGATGGGGGCTCCATCCCCCATGAGGCTCTGGATCTCCTCCCGGCACCTCTGCTGATGCTCGGGCTGTGTGGCCAGAGCATAGAGGGTCCAGGACAAGCCGCTGGCTGTGGTGTCGTGGCCCTCAAACATGAACGTGTCCACTTCAGCACGGAGGTCCCTGTCTGATAAGCTGCTGCCGTTCTCCCTCTGGGGAGGCCACGGTGAGAGGGCACAGTTGGGTTTTGCTCTCTGCTTTGAGCAAAGCCTCAGGCCTCTCCTACACACACTCACGTTGCCCAAGAGGAGGATGTCCAGGAAGTCCAAGTGCTTCTTCTTCCTGACCTTCTCCAGCTCTCCGTCGGCCTGCAGGTGAGCCTTCCTCTGCTGGATCACTCGGTCTGTCCCGGAACAGCGCTTACTTGCAGAGCCAAGAGCGAAGCACCCCCAGTAGCCCCGGCTGCCCCACTGCCCCAACCTGGGTGCCAGGTAGAGCTCAAGATGGGTGTGGGAGTGGGTGCATGGGTCGGGGTGGGAGCTCTAGCCCAAGGTGATGCAGGGCAGGTGTCCTCTCCGAGGCGCAGCCCACACGGCCACTGCTTGAATGCTGTCGGGATGGGATCTCGTTCCCCCATCGCCAACATGGTGACACAGGGAGACCCTGCGCAGCACCTGGTCCCCCAACATCTCAGCTCCCTCCCCCCGCACCAGGGAAGTCCCAGCGGGAGTGGCTGCGTGAGTGAGTCCCAGCTTCTTCAGGGGCACCAGGGGGGCTGGCTCTGCCTCAGGTCTCAGGGCCAGGGCCTGTGGCTGTGGCTAGTAGGGGCGGGGAGACCAGAGGACAGAACCTGTGTGCTGATGGGCGAGCTCGCAGGCGCGCTGGTTCGAGCGGCCAGATGGGGTCAGGCTGTAGATGGTGTCATTCTGCAGAAAGGCATTCCGAACACGGGAAAAGAACAGGTCGTTCAGGTCCTTCACGGCCTGGATGTACGACTGGGCGTTCCTGAGGGGGAGGATGCAGAAGATACCGGGGTGGCGGGGAGCCTCTCACCCGGAGGCACGGTGGGGTCTGGGTGGACAGGGCCTCAAAGAGTGGGGACAAGCAGCACTGAGGCAGAAGTCTCTTCTGTCCTACAGCCCCGTGACCCTCAGGCCTTTAGAGGACGGCGTGACAGCCTGCGTCCGCCTGTGCGAGAGGTCAGGGAACGGGGGCTGAGTCGCGGTTTGCTCTGGTCTGGAATTAGAGTTGGGCCAGGGGCTGAGTGTTGGTTAGTGTGCAGGTGCCTCCATGCTGCCCCACTGGCCGCTCGGGGACATCCGCTCCAGTCGGTAAGGACAAGGACCCTGCAGCTGAAGGGTCATCACAGACCTGTCCAGCTGGAGGCTGCCCTGGTGGCTGAAGGCACACTTCGTGATGGTGTCCAGGGTCATCAAGGAGATGGGTTGAAAGACCTCCAGAGGGGAGTCCTGGCTGGCGAGCTTCTCCCACTTGTCCTGTGGTGAAAGGGGACACTGACCTCAATTCCCCCAGAAGTCCTCTGCTAATCGGGCTCAGCTTTCCCCTGAATCTGCAGATGTCTTTGTTGGGAGCCCTCCCGTTAGAGAGCAGGTGCGTTATAGCGGATTAGGACTGAGAAGCAAATGTTTCTCAAATGTTGTCTATTTCACACAAACTTTCATTACAAAGTTAAACATATCTTCTCCTAGAGTCTGATTTACATTTTATCTTTTGGCAATCTGTTGTGACCTTTTTGTTCATGAGGAAAAAATTTTCTGTTTGGGACAAAGACTAGAGTTCTGAGAGCAGAGCTAGACCTGAGGGACAGTGAGGACGCCGGCATTACGGAGCAAATGTGTCGAGGCAACAGAAGCCTCAGGGACCACCATGGGCTCGTAATGCAGAGACATCAAGGACTTTCATTCCTTTTCATTCATCGACTGTTTGCTGGGCACAGCTGGTAGGAAATCAGAGTCCTGACGGGAGGTGATGGCGTGGCAGGCATGGTTTTGAGAATGTAGAACTGGTGTCCAGTGCACACCATGGTGGCTCCAATGCACACCAGAAGCCCTGAGTCCCAGGCCAGAGCCTGGTTGAGTGACACCCTGGCATGTCCACCCTTCCCCTGAAGCTGCCATCGCCTCGGCCAGCCCGGGGCAGGTAGTGGTGCTGGCCAGTGGGACTGGCCGCTCCTCCGTCCACTGTGCTGGAGATGTGAACACAGGAAGAGAGGGGCTTGTATCCACCGTGACTGAACGCCTGCGCACTCTCCCACCCCACCCACTTAGAGGAACCCCACTCTCACAGGAATAGCCTGAGAGTGTGGTCTGGTGCGGCTATGTCCGCGGCTGTGTGCAGGCACAGGCGTTTGAGTGGAACTGGTGGGAGTGTGTGCCTTGAGCGGGCGTGTGGAGGGCAGAGAGAGACATGCTCACCAGCATCACTCGGACAGAGTCTGCCATGAACCCCACGTAGGGCTTCAGGATGTCGTAGTGGAAGGCTGGGGTCAGCAGCCGCCGGTGCTGGAACCACTTCTGCCCGTTCAACAGGAGCAAACCGTACCCTGGGCCAGAGACAGGTGTGTACACATGTGAGGGAGATGGGACCAGAGGGACAGAAGGTGGATCCTGGGTGCAGAAACCCGGAAGAAAGTCCCATTATGGGCAAAGGCAGGAAAGGCACAGTGCGTTTCGGGAATGTGAACTTTCTGATTTGGCTGGTACATCGACGTGATTAGGACAGCTAGTAGACGAAGGTTGAAAAGTGTTGGGGCCAGATATTAACCAGATGTCAGGCAAGAACAGAGAGGACCGAGAGGTAAAGTGGAAGAGGGTGAGTCTCAGGAGGGCTGACACCAGCATTAGGAAGGGGTGTGGTGTAGTTAGAGGAAGAGAAGCGAGGCTTGATTTAGGGATGGAGTCATGAAGAGTGGCGGCCTGTCTCCTGTTGCTCTCTGTGAGCCAAAGAGATAGCCCCTGGCAAACCTATCTGGCATGTGGATGGCAGTCCTGTTCAGGCAGACTTACCAATCCAGGGAGCCAGGAATCTGTAGGAACCATTAGCCTTTGGATCTGAAAGATGAGGCAGGACATTAGTAGTAAACTAGAAGATCAAACAAAGGTAGCTGTGGTTGCCAACAGTTCTGGATGTGTGTCAGTGGCAGTGTGTCTCATGTCACCACCCACTTGTCTGACATTGCCTCCTACATCTCTCCTGAACGTCAGTGTGGGCCTGGGAAGGCAGACTTGGGGAGCCAGTCAGAGCACTCACAGAACCGGGGGGTGGGTGGGCCAGAGACACAAGCGACGTCCGTCCCCCATGCCGAAGAGTAAGACAGAGCCTTGGGTGTTTCTACGTAGGTGGTGGCTTGGCCTCCCCAAACCAGGACAGGGGATAATTAGAGCTTCCAAACCCAAGTCAGTGTTGACATGAAATTTGTGTTTCAGATTAGGTCAGTTTACATAACATCACCTCAATTTGCTTAAAAGAGCAAGAAAGAAAAGAATAGGAAATTCAGCCCCACACAGCCATTTTAACATTCAGTGCTCAGTCAATAATTTTTGCCACAGGCTGGATTGTGGGCTTGGTGAATGGTTGTAGAAGGTTCAGATACTGATGTGTGAGCTCCCACTTTCCTCTGCAGTTTTACAAGCCCAGGGGCTGCACTCCAGAGGCAGGAGCTGCTCCAGCCGCAGCGCAGCTTTCAGTCTCACCTGATCTCCCTAGAATCACCTTCATGTAGTCAGGGTCATAGACCTGGACACGGGCGAAGCTCCCCCACAGCCAGAAAGGACAGGCACTTGGGAATTCCTCTACCCATTTCAGAGTCCTCTGCAGTTCTTGGTCGTTTGGGAACTGTCAATCAGGAAGGACAAATTGGTGAAAACTTCTGTGCCAGTCTTTGCAGTGGGAGAGAAGGACGAGACAACCACAGAGACATTGTTCTAGCTCTATCAGTATAGATTAGGAATTTGGAACCATTTCTGATGACCTGGGCTCTGATCCAGATTCTTGCTATCTCCCCAGGCCCCGACCTAAGCCAGATGCTGTTTGCCTATTGGGCAGAGCTGTGGTTCTCACTCAACGTGGCCCACAGAAACTTAAGCCAGGCATGGTCTCCACATTGTACACAACCTTCGGAAGTACGACATCTTCCATGGACAATTTACACGACAACTTGCATCACCCAGTAAACAGATGTGTAAAATAATTCATTCAGAGAATAACATGGATACATTTAAAATTTTTAGTTATTCATTAATTTTATATTACCATACAGTTGTTATATTTTCAGTATTATCCCAGCATACATGTAAGTATTTATTAAGGTAAAATGGTGTTTGGGATGCATATGGCTATGTGAAAAAAAGCTTAAATACGAAACTATGTGTATAATAGTATTCTACATGCTGAATATGTACGGGTTTAAAGAACAAAGTCTGGATATACACATATCAAATTGGTGTTGGTCTTTCATTTTGAGATTTATGTTTTTCATTCTCATTTTCACTCATCAATGAAAAGAAAGTTTTGCGAGGTCCCTGCTTCCTGGTGTTGTTTTTCAAAAGTCTTCAGTGTCGATCTCAAAGCCCTCTGCCTTCCGGTGTCTCTATCCTTGCCCCCTGCCGTGCTGGCAAGTCTACCATGATCCAGTGCTGCTGCTGCCCTGTGCACCAGCTAAACCCTCCCACTCCCCAAGCCTTTGCACTTGCTCTTCCTCTGCCTGGAATGCCCTTCCCCTTTGCCACAGAGCAACCACCTGTCCTCAACTTCCAAGACTCAGCTTTGTTTTGTCTTGTCTGGAATCCTTGTAGACATTGGGTCCTAGAGATATTCCATTTAGTCAACTCTTCTTTATTCTAACTGCTTCTACGTAACTGCAAGCAACTGTCTGCTATGGAGGTACAGAATCTCTGCCCACATCCTTCTGACAACAATGTTCACCAGCTCTGAGGCAACATGCCTTGCTGTGGGACAGGTCCTTCATTTAGCACATGCTTACTGAACATGTACTGTGTGCCAAGCACTGGTTCAGCCACTGGATACAACTATGGATCCTCACCTGTTTGGAGTGTTCAGTCTAGGTGGGGAGACAGAAAGAGTAGAGGCTGTACAGTGGAGGATAATTAATGTTGGGGTGGAAGGAAGCCCAAGCACCTGGGGAAGCTTTGGAGAGGGGCCCTGGTGCAGAACGGAATGTTAGAAAGCTCTTGATTGTTCACTTGCTAATTCGTTGATTGAGTCATCATTTCCTAAGGGGCAATTGGGTTACAAAGATCAATCAGAGATGGTCTCTCCTGGAAGGAGCCCATAGTTATGACACTACAGAAAAATAACTCAATCAGGTTAATGCCGTTTTGTCCCCTTGAGGGCAGACCAAAGGAAAAAGAATTGCCCCCTCCACTTCTGGAATACCCAGGAGGGCTTCGTGGAGGAGGTGGCTTGGCGATGGGCCTTGGCCAATGGACATACGTAGGGCAAGGTCATTCCAGGCAGATGGCACAGTGTGAGCCGAGGCCCAGAGGTTGGAATGCACAGGTAAGTAGGGAGGACAATGAGTGACTTTATCTGATCTAGCAAAGTTAGATCATCTGATAAAGTCATGATCTAGCTGATAATCTGTCTTAGAGTAAAGGAAATTGGGAAAGAAGGAGGGATAGAGGATTGGGACTAGTCCATGTAGGGCTTGGATGTTTCCAGTTCCCTACTTTGGTTCCACTCTGCTGATGATCACGTTGCCTTCCTTGCTGAGAAACAGCAGGCTTGAGCTCCCTGCAAGCCATATCTCCTCTTGGATGCATTCAATCCACAGCGCTTGGTGGGCCCTCTCCCTTCGGCCCCTTACCTTGCTTGGTGCCTCCACCCCTGGTGCTGGCAGTGCAGGGGGTGGGCACTGTCCCTCCCCAGCCATCCAGATGCTCCTTTCCCTCCTTCCTCTGTCTCTCCACACACCTGGGCTGACTGTCCCACTGTACCATACTCTTGCTGGGTGCGGGGTACTGGGGCACAGGGAGGGGATGATATCCTCGCTCCAAGTAGTTCATAGTCCAGGAGTGTGGGAAGAGAGCCAGGAGGTCAACAGACACGGTCCAGTGGTACAACTGAGACATCAGCACCCCTCACCTGAAGGACATCGTGCTGGCCGACCCTCTCATGTGTTCCCATGACTGTCAGGATTTCAGCCCGGAAATCACCTGTGCTGGCCTTCCCTCAGTCTCGGGCAGAGCCAGTTCGTCCCCTACACCTGACATCACCCACTCTCCCCAGCAGAGTGAGCTCTCTCCCTGCGGTCTGACACCTTCTGAGCTTCGTACCTATGTTCTCTACAGACCATGAACCCACAGGTTAGGGATTCCATCAAACTGATGTTCCCAGGCAGGCTCAGGGGCAGGCAGAGAGAATGGCATTGAGTGACAGGGGCAGGGAATCATCTAGAAGCCTTGCTCTTTGAGAACGGCTAAGGCTGCTGGGGGTGCTCAGCCTGGAGAGGGAGAGACCCAGGAAACACCAACCATTTCCCTTGCAAGGGAGTGAGCTCCCCGTGGCTGGGATGAGCCGAGACTGGAGAGTAGGCATGGTGTTTCTCAGAGGCCACACGCTTATCACACAGTAAGGTTTTGCCCTCTGGTCTGGAACTCCTGGCCTCAAGTCATCTTCCTGCCTCGGCCTCCCAAAGTGCTAGGATTACAGACGTGAGCCACTGTGCCTAGCCTAAGGCTTTGCCGTCTGGACTTGCTGACCAGGCTCTGAGCGCCCCAGTCCTCCCTACCCTCCCACTCCCCCATCCAGCTCCTTCTTACCTCCCGGCTGTGCCCAAAGAGCCAGTGGGAGGGAGGGCACGGGAACTGCTGGAGGGCTTTGAGCAGCCACTGCCTGCGCAGGTAGAGCTGGATGGCCTTGAGCAGCAGCAGAAGCAGGCTGAGCACGGAGGCCACTTGGAGGAGCCCAGAGATGCCTCCTGGAAGTCCGCTGGAGCTCAGCACAGAGACACCCATGGTTCTGCAGTGCCCTCAGGACCACTGACTGCCTCTGCTTATCTCTGACTGCTGCTGCCCGCCCCTGCCAAGTCCTGGGAGGGCTGCCCCGCCCACCTGTGGGGAGGGCGAAGGTTGAGGACTTACCTTAGACCTGGGTGTTCTGAGTCGATTAACTGTGGAGGATCCAGCTGGGGAAGCAGGGAGAGCAAAGCTTCATCAGCTGACAGTGGTAATGGCCACCGAGCACCCATGTTGCCCTCCCCATAGTACTCACGAATATTTAATGAGCACCTGCTCCGTGTCAGCCAGTATGCTGGGTGGCGGCATGGCTGGGAGGAAAACAGACATGAGCCCTGACTTCAAGGAATTCTCGTTTTTCTTTACTACGTTGCAACAATGTTCATTCAGTAGCACTTTTTTTGTTACATGATCAAGTTAAATTCTCCATATGATACGTACATTCAAAGCCTAATATTAACCAAGTCTTTGAATCATTACTTTTACATCTTACTCCAATACTAATTTTGTTTACTGTAACAACCTCTTTCAACTATATATTGGGTGACAAGAAGTGGGAATTATGTCATTTCTATTTCCTGGATGATGATAAGGACAAAGAGATGCGAACATAGCAGACTTCGCACGATTTTATATCATTGCATTGAAGAGATTGGCTTTATATCATCATTAGCATGATTCCTTCTCCATTGAAATACATGACAATTTCAACAAATTTCTAAACTTAATCTTTTTTTTTTTTTTTTTTTGAGACAGAGTCTCACTCTTTTGCCCGGGCTAGAGTGAGTGCCATGGCGTTGGCCTAGCTCACAGCAACCTCAAACTCCTGGGCTCAAGTGATCCTCCTGCCTCAGCCTCCCGAGTAGCTGGGACTACAGGCATGCGCCACCATGCCCGGCTAATATTTCTATATATTTTTAGTTGTCCAATTAATTTCTTTCTATTTTTAGTAGAGATGGGGTCTCGCTCTTGCTCAGGCTGGTTTCAAACTCCTGAGCTGAAATAATCCGCCCACCTCAGCCTCCCAGAGAGCTAGGATTACAGGCGTGAGCCACCGCGCCCAGCCCTAAACTTAATCTTAATTATGATCTTTTCCCATTAATAGGTCTACTTTTAGCTGTAGCCAGAAAAATCTGCTCCACTTGGACTATGCTCCTGTCTTCTGTCACCCACAGAAGGGCCCGTGGCAAGTTCAGTCCTGCTTCAGCCAAGTTCCGCAGTTGTAGCAGGAGCATTTTTACTAATTCTCTTTCATCCTGTAACAGAAAAATAATTATACAATTAAAACTTTTACACTCTGTTTAGGAGCCCTTACTGTATTGTTTGGTGCAATGTGTGCCTTAACACAAAATGATATTTAAATAATTATTGCTTTGTCCTCCTCAAATCCACTAGCCTTACTAAAGTAACTATTGAAGATGGCAGACCAAAGTCGCCACCAGCCAGAGTGTCTCTAAGAAGGAGAAATTTTAGATGAAAGACAAGAGAAAAAACAGACAGACAAACATAGACCAGATGAGGGTCAGAAGGAAGGGTGCCTGAACCTGCAGGAGGCTCCACGGGAAGAGATTGCAGAGCAGAACTGGAAGGAGAACGGCATCGATGGGGATAAGCCCAGAGAGGCTCGGAGACCAGCGGGAAGGGTCGGTGGATCGCCTAATGTCCCCCTCCCTCTCATCTCAGGCTGTTGGTGGGCTCCCGAGCTGCTAGAGAGACCTTCTGCCAAAGCAAGCCCAGAGACTGCTGCCACCAGTGAGTGGAGAGCTTCTTGTAAACAGGGCATCAGTTCTCACCTGCCCACCGGGGTGCCTCCCACCCCTCGGATCCAAGCCGGTCAGCAGGCCCCATATTGCTTCTCTACCCACCGAGTGCCTTTGCACTCCCCAGCGGACCTCAACCACACAGGTCCCATTTGCTCATCCCCACACAGACATTTCCCAACTCCAGCCCTGACTGCAGGAGCCATAGGGATCTAGTGGGTCCTGGGTGACCTGCGTGGCTCCAGAGCCCCATCATTCTGGGTGGACTGCCTCCCAGAGAGGGGGCTGGAGACGACCAGAGATTGGACTTTTCCTCCACATAGACTCTTGGCCGAGAGAGACAATCGAGCCACCACATGTACGCTTCCACAGGAAACAGGGCTCAGACCTTTCCTTTTGGGGTCCTGCAGCAGACTGAGGGGTGCTCAGACTGTGAGCTCCCTACCTGCTGGCCCTCTCTGGTGCTGCTTGTCTGGTGACTCCAGCAGAGTGGGACACACCCTGAGGTGGAAGGGCACTGAATCAGCTTGGGCACCCCGTGAGAGTATCCTTTCCCTGGCATGGTCGGGGTTTAATCCCCAGGGCCCGGGGGATGGACCAGAAGGTCAGATCCTATACACCAGGTCTCGATCGCATCACCCAGGGACACAGAGGGGATATTTGTGAATTAGACTCTCAAGGTTGGGTGTCTTCTGGGAAGATCAGAGTAGGTTCTAGCTGCAGCGAGCTCCAGGGCACCCCTCCTCCCACGGCTACAAACTCAGGCCGGGATTCTGGGCAGAGAAGCTGAAATTTTGAAGTGCAGCATAGAAAAAGCCTAGATGGCCATAAACTTATTAATATAATACTATTGGTAGAAATAGGGACATTAAAATGCTTCTGCTGAGGGCTCAGAAGGAAGTGAGAAGCACGGGTGGAAAAGCTCGTATTGGTTTGGAGAATGTTTGTATTACCATAACAGAATGTTAATAGAAATCTGAACATTAAACATGCTTCTGATGAGAGCTCAGAAAGAAATGAGAAACATGTTATTGGAAATGGAAGAAAAGCAAACTTTGTCATATAGTGGCAGGAAACTTAACTGAATTATATCCTGCAGCTGTGTGGGAAGCAGGACTTGTAAGCAATGACCGTGGAGATGTAGCTGAGATTGCTAAGCAGAGTGTGAAAGCTGCTGCCTGGCTTCTTCTGCTGTTTATAGTAAGATGTGAGAATAGAGAATTCAACGGAGGAAAGAATTGTTAAACAAAAGTAAACCAGTTCCTGGTGATGCAGGGGATCCGGGAAATTGTCAGTCTATCCAGATTGAAAGAAAATGATACAGTTGAGAGAATCCCTGTTAGGAAAACGTGCCATGGCGAGGAGACCAAGTGTGAGGTTGAATAATCTTTGCTAGTGCTGAAGACATTAGGTGTGTGACTCAAATGCTCCCAAGGAACTCAGAAGCCAGGAACAGCGACCGGAATTATCTAGGAAAATCTTTGGAAGACTTTCTTGACTAGGAGTGTGAATCTTTGTGACATCCATGAGAGATTCACAGAGGTTTTGAGAATGTGATATCAGCAGAGCTACCTTGTACTGTAAGCAGCAGAGAGAGGGCAAAATGAAAGAACGCTCCTGGACTCTTAGAATCCTACAGGAAAGAAACAAGCTGAAAAACCTACTACGCTGCAAGTATGTGCCATCCTTGGAGAGAAAAGAAGAATAACTCTGAAGGTAAAAGCTCAGTCCCAGAGGATCCCGAGGGTGGAGTCTCAAGCCACAAAGGATTATTCCCAGTCTTTGAAACCTAATGCAATTTGCCCTGCAGGATTTTGAAATGTCTACAGATCAGAGACTCCGTTTTTCCCCTTCCACTTTCTCCCTTTTAGAATAAGAATTTCTATAAATGTTATTCTATGCCTGTCCCACAGTTTATTTAAGGAACAGATAACTTGTGGGTTTTTTTTTTTCTCTCTCAGAGCTCCAGAGATTTTGAGGCATTTAACCCAAGGATGGCTTATACTCAGAGTCTCACCAGTACCTTAGATGGTTTAGGTGGTAAGATTGGGATTTTTGAGCTGACGAGATTTAGATGAGATTTTGGACTTGAGTTGACGCTACAAAGAACTGAGTGAGGCTTTGGGGATGTTGAGAAGGGGTGAATATATTTTGCACGTGGGATGGACATGAATCTTTGGGAAACAGAGGGGAGACTACGGTGGCTAAGGACCCCTGAAGATACCAGGTTCTACTTCTTAGAACCTGTGTATGCTACCTTTCAGAAAAAAAAGATTTTCAAAGATGTGATTACATTAAGGAATTTGAGATTGAGAGATTATCCTGGATTATCAAAGTGAGCCCTAAATGAAATCATTTGTGTCCTCATAAGAGGGAAGCAGAAGAAGATCTGACACGCTCAGGGGAGAATGCCATGTGAAGACAGGGCAGGGAGGTATTCGAGACTCTGGCCTCCAGGACTAAGGGAGTAAATTTCTATTTTTTTAAACCATCACGTTTCTGGTAATTTATTAAAATGAAACTAAAAAACTAAAATAAGTGGGATAAGAAACACTACTGTGAATACCTCATAGAATTATTCATTTATTCACTCATTTATTTACCCAAAAACCCAAATGTTTTTGAGTTCACAGTTTAGTAGCTAATGGCAGAAAAATAAATCAGTACACTAAAACATTATAGAGGGTGTGGTGGCTCACGCCTGTAATCCTAGCACTCTGGGGGGACCAAGGCAGGAGGATTGCTTGAGCTCAGGCGTTGAGACCAGCCTGAGCAAGAGCGAGACTTCATCTCTACAAAAAATAGAAAAAATTAGCCAGGCGTGGTGGCGCATGCCTGTAGTCCCAGCTACTGGGGAGGCTGAGGCAGGAGGATCTCTTGACCCCAGGAGTCTGAGGTTGCTTTGAGCTAGGCTCATGCCAAAGCACTCTACCCCAGGAAACAACATCAAAAAACAAACAAACAAACAAACAAACAAAAAACCCAACACATTATAGAGGATGCAACAACATCAAAAAACAAACAAACAAACAAACAAAAAACCCAAGACATTATAGAGGATGCACTGAAGGAATAAACAGTGGGCTCAATCCACCTGGGGAAAGAGAAAACAAACACATTAAGGGAGCTTTCAGGATGGATAGGACTTTGCCAGCTGGCGAATCCCAGAAATAGCACTGGCAAATCTATGAAGATTAGATATGAAAGAGCAAGAAATCGAAAAAGTTCATATTCAACTTAACACTCCTGTGACTTTTTCCATGATTATCTCCCGAAAGGTTATG